GGCTTTTATTATAAATCCCCTTTTATCCTGATCTTACAGTAATTCTATCTTCTGTTGGAAACACTTCCCAGTAGAGGCCCTCACGGGAGGAAAAGCCTTTGACACACGCCACCCAGATCAGCCCAAGTAATAAGAGAAGACTGAAGTTGTATTCACTCCCTTTGGCAGGGAAGTTTCAGGAGTCGTCTCGCTTATGGGGAGGAACACATGTAACCTGGCAACCTTGTGATAATATTACTTTTAGAAACAATTCCAGCCATGTTTTCTGCGCATCTCATAAAAGGGAAAGGCTTGAATAAGAAACAATGGCCAACATTTTTGAAGATTTCGGGGCACATGTCAACTGCTTTAAACAAATTAATTTTTTGTATAAGAAAGCTGTAAAATGGGTAAATACTATATGGAATATCAGAAATGAAGGGGGGGGGGGGGGGGTTTAAACATTAAAAACTGCTATCCATCCTGTGCACATACAGTATGTGCCCAGTCAGCTGACCGCACTTGCAGCCATTCACGTGCTGCAAATACCCGAGGACATTCACCCCTGGATGCAAATTGCTTGTGCCGAGGGTTGATTGTCTGCAGGTAATCAACATGCCAATTACATTTTATAATAAACTCTTCTGTTTTCGCTCTTTACCGTTTTTTAGACTTTTGTTTTGTTAGTGATGTCACCACTAGGTCGCTGTGCTTCTCTAGGCAATATGAGCAGAGCATGGTTGGTGGGAGGATAGAGAAGGGTGCTGTTCATGGCTTCCTGAAAACATCACAGCACCCTCTCTCAGTACTCCTCACGTGAGTCTTTGGCTTATGTGGATGCAAATATCAAACTGGCTTGTTAGGTTGATGTCAGTCTGGAGGAGCAAACATTTCCAAGTAGGCTGCATTTGTATGCAGACCTTCCGAGGTATTGAACTGGTTCAAGTTGTTCTCTTGAAAGCCCAGGTCCCCATGCTCTCCCCTCATGCTCTGTGTTTTCATTAGACATTAAAAATTCTATATATAGGATGGGCCAAAATTAGGGATGCACCGATAGCGGTTTTTCGGAATCGAGTAGGAGTACCGATATTTATATTTCGGTACTCGCCGATACAGAGCATCGATACTTCCGGTAGCATTGAGTAGGCTTCCAAGGCAATAAGAAAGCCGGGCAGCGTGTCATTACCCGCTGCCCGGCTTCTTAATTGCCTGTGAAACCGGATCCATGCTGCTTGGCCAGGAAGCCGGAATCCCAGCCAAGCAGCATGGAGTCGGCTTCCCAGGCAATCAGGAAGCCAGGAGGCGGGTCATGACCCACAGGCCCGGCTTCCTGATTGGCTGGGAAGCTGGCTCCATGTTTCCTCGCGGCACTGCTGGTCAGAGGAAGCCTCCCTCTGACCGGAACTTCCGGTATCGAGGGTAAGTATCAAAAGTACCTGGCGAGTAAGAGTATCGGTGCATCCCTAGCCAAAATACATTTTGCACTGGTCTAATCAGCAGCGACAGAAAGAACTCGGTAGAGGGTTTTGCCAATAGCAATGTCTATGGGGTAATAAATGTATGCATAAGTTTTTCACCCATAAGCTACACTGTTTCACACACTGCTCAATTAAAATCCTGAGATTTTAAAAAATGTTGTGCGTGTTATTTTAATGTCATGTTTAATTACCTCTGGATAGAAATATTCCTATATTCTACATTAATGGCATATACAGCACTTTCTGCAGAGCAGCCTGTATTTCTCTTGAGGTTACCTTTGTATACAGAACACTTCTTCTGGCAGTTGTGTTGCAATCTTTCTTGGTCTACCTGGCCTTGGCTTGGTATCAAGAGATCCCCAAATTTTCCACGTCTTAATAAGTGATTGAACAGCACTGACTGGCATTTTCAAGGCTTTGGATATCTTTTTATACCCTCTTCCATCTTTATAAAGTTCCATTACATTGTTACTCAGGTCTTTTGACAGTTCTTTTCTGCTCCCCATGGCTCAGTATCTAGCCTGCTCAGCGCTTCCACGTGAGAGCTAACAAACTCATTGGCTATTTATACACAGACACTAACTGCAATTTAAAAAGCCACAGATGTGGGAAATTCACCTTTAATTGCCATATTAACCTGTGTGTGTCACCTTGTGTGTCTGTAACAAGGCCAAACATTCCAGGGTATGGGAGCTTTTGATCAGGGCTATTTATGTAATCATTATGATTTAAAGGACTATGCGATATTAAATGGCTTCATATGATCACTATCCTTAATAAATGTTTTTACGGCATGATCAGTCATATTTTCAATATCAATGCCAAAATGTCACGATTTCTGCCAGGGTATGCAAACTTTTGTGCACAACTGTATATTGGCTGTATTTTTTACAAACGCATACCATGCTGCACAAGCCAAGCACAATACACTCACTTGTGTAACTATGCTGCCACCTAGTGGACATGATGTGCAATTGGCATCATAAGAGATAAAGGGGTCTTATTTCAGTAAGAAGACTTTCTGGCTGTCTAGCCATTCCATTCTCCCCAGAGAATACACTGCCACCTTCCATCCATTAATTACCTAAAAGCAATATTTAGTTTGAAGAACTGAATGTTTAGTGCTTCATTTAACTAAATGTAATGCATGTCAAGTGCTTTAATTACACACTGTGAGGACAGGCATTCTGTTGATGAGGACAATATTAAGCTGATCTAGGAATGTGTCCAAAAGTTGAAAGGCCACGTTGTCTTAGGGCTCAGTGTCAGGATCGGACCGCAGGCACAATGTGCCTTGCGATCCCGTGCGGCGGACCACATTGCGGCCGGAGGCCGTGGCTAGGGCGCCATTCGCTTGGTAGGGCAAGCCAGCATGTGATCATAGGTCAGAGCTGACATAGCGCTCACACAATTAGTAATTGGATTGATAAAAACAGACACGGGGCTCCATGCTATTGGCAAAATATTCAAAAACAATATGGCATATAAAGAGTCCCATTTAGTATAAAAAGACAGTTATGACAGTAAGGTCATTAAAGAGGAACTTCACCCATATCTTCAAAATAACAACAAAGGCACCTTTAGAAATGTTTAGTAATGACAATCTACACACATATACTTCTAGATCAAGTGCCGGCTTTTTATTCCTACATACCTTATTTCTCTTTTCCTGCCCATTCTTCTCATAGTGGCCAGTTTTACTAAGGGCAGATGAATCCATCTCCCTTTACTTCCTGGAACTCTGGTACATGTGATTAGGACATGTGACTATGCACATAATCTCAGGGGAGGAAAATGCCTCTAGAGATTAAAAATGACATTTCCCAGCATTGCTCTGCAACACTTGGACACCGATTACATCACTTTTGCCAACGAGAACCAGGAAGTAGAAAACAAGAAATTGTAATTAAAATAAAAATATGTTTGTTTAGCTAATGAATGCAAGATGATTTTATATCAGCATGAAGAGCATTATGCTGGTGTGATTTTTAGCCAAAGGGGTAATGGTCCACTTTAAAGGCATACACACACACAAACAATCAATATTTGCCACTAAAGGGTTGATGCATATACTGTTGAATCAGATCACGTACATGGCAGGCCACTGAGGTTGAAGCTTATAAGCTTGGTGTATGTGACATAAAGGGTGATTTATAAACCATATGCATAGCGAACAGCTATGTGAATGAGATTTACAGTGCATTATGTCCACTATATGGAGCTAAGAAGCATAGGAATCTCACTGGATGCAATCACCAATCGTTTGACAATTTCCCACTCGGCTTCTTTCATTTTGAAATCGAGCCTTGTGTGGTCAGATTAAGAAGCAATGAATTTACTTCTGAAGAGAGGGAGCATGAGAGCTAGTGAACGGAGCTTTACTCGAAGTCCTGAACCTCCACACTATGTGAATGGGCTCAGTGTGCAATATCAATGGTGAGAACATAAACACTCTTCAGTATCCAATTTGTGTGCTGGGAATGTGTGACTCCATAGAGGAAACTGGAGAGCTTGTGCTGTAGGAGGGATCTAACTGGAGAAAGACCAATGTGCGTGTGGTGGAGGTGGGATCTCACAGGAAAAAGACCAATGTGCGTGTGGTGGAGGTGGGATCTCACAGGGAAAAGACCAATGTGCGTGTGGTGGAGGTGGGATCTCACAGGGAAAAGACCAATATGTGGGTGGTGGAGGTGGGATCTCACAGGGAAAAGACCAATGTGCGTGTGGTGGAGGTGGGATCTCACAGGAAAAAGACCAATGTGTGGGTGGTGGAGGTGGGATCTCACAGGGAAAAGACCAATGTGCGTGTGGTGGAGGTGGGATCTAACAGGAAAAAGACCAATGTGCGGGTGGTGGAGGTGGGATCTCACAGGGAAAAGACCAATGTGCGTGTGGTGGAGGTGGGATCTAACAGGAAAAAGACCAATGTGCGTCTGGTGGAGGTGGGATCTCACAGGGTAAAGACCAATGTGTGTGTGGTGGAGGTGGGATCTCACTGGAGAAGGACCATTGTGTGTGTAGTGGAGGTGGGATCTCACTGGAGAAAGACCAATATGTGTGAGGTCTCACTAAGAAAAAGACTAAAGTGTGTGCGCTGGAGGTGGGATCTCACTGGAGTAGGACCATTGTGTGTGTAGTGGAGGTGGGATCTCACTGGAGAAAGACCAATATGTGTGAGGTGAGGTCTCACTAAGAAAAAGACTAAAGTGTGTGCGCTGGAGGTGGGTTCTCATTACAGGACATGACCAATCTATAAACTTTTGTGTTACAGGCACATGAAACGTTAGATCTATTGGAATAGACAGTACCGATGAAAAACAAAAGCATAAATCTTAAGTCCAAATGAACATAGAAAACAGGGAAGAGACAAGGTAAAAGGTGACTGTACCAGTGAAAACGCATAAAGGCAACCGCATCTAACAGTGCAGTTAATTTACAGGAGCGTTCTGCTCCCAAGCAAGACAGGAAGGAGTGTTAGCAAGGCAGAGGGCACACAGGTGTTAGCAATGCAGTTAAAACTCTGCAACCCTCTCCCAAAAATACCTTAATTTCAACAGTCTCCTGAGTCTCATTCTCTGAATCGTCCTCTCCCTATAAAAGACAGAAATTCACAAGGTTTAGGAAATAGGCTGTCACAATCCACATTCAGCGAGTATTTGGAATGACAGCACGCAGTAGATGTAAATCACACTAAGTAAGGTACAGAAGCTGACATAATGAACACATACTAGAAAAGAAAACCTCTTGGCCCAACTGCAAAAAATGCTATGCTCTGAAGCCGGAGAACATTTACACATGAGGACTTCAAATTTTGGTAAAGCTCCACTCCTGTCAAAATAGACAATGAAGCCTTGAGAACAGCTGACCTGCCCACAAATTGCATTTTCCATGCATGCATAGTTGTCATGTACCAGGATAACTCGCTCTCGTCAGTAATTTGGGAACACCTTTTTCATACCTGTGTATAATCAAAGCTAGGAATACCCAGCTTTATTTAAAGGAAAAGTATGAGGCGAATGAAACTGCCACAGGTCGGCTCAGTAGATCGCGAAGTGAGCGAACACATACCGTCGCTCGCTCACTTCTCAATCTATCCGTGCAGAGAGCCGTGACTGTCACTCAAAGCTCCCTGCAGGGATTACGCCCCCCGTCCGAGCCTCCAGCGCGGACTGGCGGAACGGACGGGGAGGGGGCGTGTACAGCTGGCTCTGCCTCTAGATAGGCAGAGCCAGCTGTCACTCACCCAGCTGGGTGGATCCAGGACATAATTGTCGGGATCTGTTCCGGCTGCGGCGTCTCCGTATACCGCAAGCTGTAGCTCGCGCTATACTGAGCTGTGGGTGACGGGAGGATGCTAGATTGTGTCCTCCCGTTACCCTTAGGAGAACTATGGGGAAAAGCACTGACCCCATAGTTCTCCTTTCATTAGTGTTATTTTGGATGTTAATGTGTGATAAATGTGTCATCAATGGACAGAAAACTGCACCAGAATTATTTTATGCTCCACAACGCACATGTCTCGGGGGAACACATTTCAGCAGATTTTTTTTTTATCTGCAAAAATTCTGTGCTGGCCAGTTTTTTAATAGAATAGCTCAGGTTTGTAAAGCGGCTCTGTAAACATTGGAAAACAAAAACAGAGCGGCTTCAAAATGTAGTTCCACTTTTGCAGTCAAGTTTGAGAAAACCCAACTTTATGTTTCTTATGCGTTCCCTATTCACACAGCAAGAACCTATGTAAAAAATCTTGTCCGTACACTGTACACATGCAATGGTTCAGTGCAAATATACCCTATTGCTTGTTGGGACAAGTACAAAAAGTTTACTTTTAGCTTTCTTCTTTAAAAAGAACCTATGCCCAGACTATATATACTTAAGTATTCACATATACGGCATAAGCACTTTAAACAATCCCTTATTCACCTTTGTAGCTATATGAATTGTTGAGAAATTAATTTTCAACATTCACAACAGAGGCACAGAAATTTCAGCTGCTTTCTAAGGGAGCAGACTTTGGAAGCCTGCCGCACCTTTAATGTAAACAACCAGCTAGTGTTTGCAAGCTGTTTATAACCAACTGAAACTGGACTTCATAGCCTTAGTTATGATGTTTGAGGATATATTATTTCACAGTACAAGCAGCTAGAAATGACAATGTGGGCCCGTTTTAAAGCTGTACTCCAGCCGTTGAGTCTTGCGCAGTTGTACAGGTGCCTCTCCTGTACTATAATTGCTTACTCAGATTTCACATCACAGAGTGCTTTAAAAGAAGCAGTGAGTCAGACCGCTTCATTTCCTGGCTGGAGGACATCTAGTATCATCTAGTACTCCACTGCCACCCCCAGCTTTACTGCTCCTTTAATTCATTTCAGGGGTCCCATGATGGACCTGTAGATTGCTGAAGAAGGCACCTCTGCCTGCAGTTCATGCAAAGAGTTAATCATATTTTAAATGACAAGTGTACTATCAGGAAGGCTTCCGACTCCTGGAGATGTGGGTTTTTGAAGGGACTTCAGTCTGGGATTTCTCTTCATCATGGTGCGTGGAGGTGCGGGCAACAGTACAGTTATTCCTACTCTGTGCAGTAACATCAATTCTTCAAACTTTAATTTTTGCAACAAAGTCACTTTAACAGCAGTAATTAGGACAACTACCCGGCAATGTAGCCTGGCAAGAGTGCATCGATCACAAAACTGGCTGAACAGTTTCATACACCTTTTTAGGAGAGAAGACAGGCACAATGTATTGGTGAACCAAATTGTTGGCACAGTTTCCTCACAGCCCTGGGTTCCTGCAAAAACTGGCCCAAGTGTGTGTATAGGTGTTTAGGACCCCAGGAGGTGGCACTGCTGTTAATGCATTACGGTTCAGTAATAGGATTTAAAAAAAAAAGGACTATTGTGTCCTATATTGGTAGCAGCAAGGACAATAATCCCACAGTATTGGAGGTCATCAAGCATCCCCCAGGCGCAGCAGTGGGTACCTGAATTAAACATTACTATGCATTTTTGGAAAAAGTACTGATAACACGAAGGAAACTGAGAAAATATTGGCACAATCTTATTTTGTGTTCTCAAGTGGCCCTAATGAAAGAAGGTTTATGCACCTTTATTTTCCATTACGATTTCTTGCAACCAGATTGTCACTGCGGAAGGTGATGCACATGCTTTCAGACAGAAAACTCTTGACCTGATATACAGGTGTAGTGTGATGGATGTAGAAAGTGTAGCATCTCACATGTCTGTACCTGTTATGACACTGTTAAGCAATACATATGCTGATCTGGAAACAATATGCACATCTCTGTAATGTTTGCTTTATACTGGTCAGACTGACTGTTTTTTTTTGTTTTCATGTGTCACTTTTATACATTTCAATAAAAGATGTTTTTTTTATTTATTAAAAAAAACAAAAAAAAACATTAGTATGCGTATGGTGGAGCTTCCAGCTCGCCCCTATGATAGGTACCTGTTAATTGTGGAGAAGTGCAGATCTTGGATGGAGTTCACTAGCTCATCAGATTTCTACTTATGGTGGATACAAGTAATGATGTAAGAATACCCAGACCATTACTGATAAACTTACCTGGAGATCATTAGAAATATACCAGTTTCTCTTTTATTTTTTTCAGGGGGGGTTGGAATAAAAGGAGGGATCCAAGAATGTCGTGATTTGTTTTTTAAGCAATAGGAATATAGAGGTAAAACATATGTTTAAGTGTGCATTGTAAAGATATGCCAAAGGACTTATTTTGTATGAAATGATTAGGATATTGTGATGTAAGTTACGAGCTCAACTTGAATAAATAATTCTAAAAAAAAAAAAAACATAAAAAAAACTTTTTAGAACCATTACATCGTAAGCGCCTTCACGGGACAGCGACTGACAGTTGAACATGCTCTGTAAAGCACAGTCATCTCTAGGATTAACATACCGGTAATTATAGGATAAGAGTGTACGATGTAGTAAGCAATTTGCCTGACAAGAACAGGGCTATTCACCAAAGGGTGAAGAGTTTGGAGAAGTCAGGAGAAGTGACCAATCTAGGACAACATAACTGATTTGGATAAATTCTCCAATTCAGCTCACTTTCCAGTTCAGAGATGTTGTCCTAGATTGTTCAATTCTCCCGTCTTCTCCAAACTCTTCACCCTTTTGTGAATAACTCTGTAAGTGTTCACCCGTTTGCTGCCAGAGTTGCTGATAATTATATATTTCTGAAAGCAGAGATCTTGTAGAATAAAATGTTTGCATTTGCAATATTTTATGTTACATGATTAGGGATAAGCGAAGGTTCAGCCCAAACCCAGCCAGAACCTGTGCTCCTCTGAACCTAGATGCTACATAGGGCTACCTGAGGGCCAGACCAGGCCCTGCTGCTGCAAAGGGGTTAAAGGAGAACTATGAGATGAGTGATTTCCACTCACCTCATAGTTCTAGCCGACCTGTGACAATGAGACTGTCACAGGTCAGCTCAGTAGATCGGGAGGTGAGCGAACACATACCGGGTTCGCTCACCTCTCGATCCTGTCACGGCTCTCTGCCGTGACAGGGGGAGGGGCTGGATTCCCCTCTCCGATCTGCCAGCGCTGATTGGCGGAACGGACGGGGGAGGGGGCGGGTACAGCTGGCTCTGTCTCTAGATAGGCAGAGCCAGCTGTCACTCACGCAGCTGGGCGGATCCCGTCGTCTAAGTCGGGATCCGCTCCGGCGTCTCAGTATACCGCGATCTGTAGCTCGCGGTATACTGAGCTTAGGGTAATGAGAGGACGCTAGTTTGTGTCCTCCCGTTACCCTAAGGAGAACTTTGGGGGAAAACACTGACCCCATAGTTCTCCTTTAAAGGTTATGTCGGATTTTAATTAAGGGTTATGACTTTACTTATTTGGGGAGTCCAAATGACTTACAATAACTTCAATGTGAGATTTCTCACAAGCTTTGAATACACTACACAGTTATCTAGAACTCCAACTCACAACACTTGTTGCTCCCATTTACACCTGAGTTTTTTGTCGCTTCACGTGAAGAATCCCATTAGGTTCAATGGTGCCCGTTCACACCTGATCTTTGTGTTGCTCAAAGCTTGAAAATGTATACGAGTTTCTTCTAGGGATGTTCAGATACCAAAAACTGTACGCAGTACAAGTACAGATACTTTTCCAGCTCCAGGTCTAGACTAGAGAAAAATTCAAAAGTTAGGAGGCAGCTGTCATTTGTAAGGAGCACACGGAGCTCCTGGCATTTGTACATCTCTGTTTTAATGTATGATTTTTTTTGTTATAAATATATATAAGGGATGCGCTGATATCATTTTTACAAGTACTGATAATTCCCCAAGTACTCACAGATACAAGTACTGATACTTCCAAGTACTCACAGATACAAGTACTGATACATTTTTGTTTCTCGTCATGCGACAGATTTTCTAAAACAATACAGACTTAGGCCCGGTTCACACCTGGGCGTTTTATAGCACGTTTGAACGCTCTGCAAAACGCTCAAACACCGAAATCCCATTATTTCCTACGGGCATGGTTCACACCTGGGCGTATTACAGGCCGTATGAAGGCTCTACAAAACGCCCTACGCCC